GAGCAGAGGTTTCTGAGGAGCCACTTTCAGATTGCTGTAGTCCATGAATGCTCTGCAAAAATAAGGCAGAACACCATTACAAATGTTTTATATGTTAAAAACAGACCTCTAGTCTTTCTAAAACCATCCATTTTATGTTGGTGGGTGCTTCATTTTTTTGGTAAAACATGGTAAAGCTGGCACCATATTATTTTTTCCATTTTTAACACTTAATATCTTCTAGAGCGTTCATCACAGAGGCTCAGTTTTAAAATACAAAATCCACAGTGGCGTGTGTGGGAAGATGTATGTTCAATATCAAACCTCTGTCTTTGAAATTGCACTTTCCACAGTCCTTCAAACATGCCCTCAAATTTGAAGAGGAGAATTTTTGAGCAAATTCAAGCCCCCAGAAATCTGTGATAAACCAAAAGCACATGTGTAAAATCCAGATTCTACACTTTACTACATTTGCCAAATTTTAACCCCTGAAAATTTGAAGACCTTAAATAGTTTTTTAGATACGACAATCTGAAAGTGGCTCCTTGGAAAACTCTGCTCAAGACAGGTCAGCGGAGAGTTGATAAAATATTTTTAATGACAAAACTATAAGGAGTTGGGAGCTAAAATTTGGGACTTCCGTGTGTGAACCTCCTAGAATTTTTCCAGTAAATCTGAGATGGTCGGGCATTGGGAGATTTGTCGTGGAATGACCCCAGTATGACATTAAACAGATCTAACTTACATTTATTCAATTACAGGTGGTTTTATCGCTCAAAAATACCTAGAAAAACAAACATTGAGTGTGTACACATGCACATCAGTATCCCGGTTATTATCCATATCCCGGTTCTGTCAGTATTCGGGTTACTGCGTTTACATGTGCACTGAGAAACAGGGACACTCATATCCCTGTGTACATGATCAAATGGAGTATCCCGGTGACATAATCTAACAAATGCACAAGCGCAAAAATTTACTTAAATCAATTTAATAATCCAGGAAAAATACAAACCGTGAGCTCCTTTAGCGTCGGAAGCTCGGGAGGTTTAACCAGCGGTGAGGAGCTGTGAGATCTCCCACAATCCACTGCACACATCAAACCCAAAAGATTCTTCATTAAAATCTTTTGCATAAATAAACTCAACTTTACAACATATAAACCAGAACCACTATAGATCCACATCAGCCTGTTTGATCAGATAATTCAGCTCTGATCAAATTTTTTTTTACATTTTATAGAAATGAAACTTAAGACCACATGGCTCATTTGCATAAACTGTTAGGGATGATAAAAACAGATTGCTCCTTGTGCCGCTGATGTGATCAGCTTCTTTTGGACTAAGTCTACGTTCAGACTGCAGGGCTTAACGCTCAATTCCGATTTTTTTGTGAAATCCGATGTTTTTGCGAGGTCGTTCACATTTCCAATTAAATGTGACTTGTATGTGACTCCAGTGTGAACATTAAACAGCCCAAAAGTGTCCCACATGTGACACTGGAGACACGACGACGTCAACCGCAGTGAGCGTCTCTGTGTTTATGGAAGTTGTCCAAACATGGACGCAGCATCGAGCACCTGGAGATTTTAAAGTTCCTCTCGTACCGGAGCCAGAACATGAACAACTTACTTGTTTTAAGGAGGAGATTGAGAAGGAGAAGGACGAGGTTTTTGGTCGTGGTGTTTTGTGGGGCAGCGGCAGCGACGTCCGTTGAAAGGAACATGTGGATGTGGAGACGGAGCCAAGAGTGGTGAGTGGTGATGTGCTTCACTTCAGTGACAAGGAGTTCATTAACAATTCTCACCTACTTCAGCGCAGAATAGTGACGTTTGTGGTTTGTTGATAACGTGTAGGTGGATGAATGCACTTTGGTCATTCAGACTGAAGTCACATGTCAAAAGATCAGATATGTATCGGTTTCAGGAGCACATATCCAAGTGTCCTGGGTCACATTTGAAAAAAATCGGATCTGTGTCGTTCAGACTGTCATTAAAAGATCAGATACAGGAACATAGGGGCCAAAAAATCTGATTTGGGTCACTTCAGGCTGCAGTCTGAACGTAACCTAAATGACACGACTCTGTGGAATATGTGTGATCTTTTTGTGACAGAAGAGGTGCTGATGATGGTGAGTCTGTTCTGTGTGTATATCGTATAGAAGATAGTTCATGTTTTAGCTTTTCAGCGATCACACGAGTGCAGGTCGTACGAGTGCAGATTGTACATGTGCAGGTTTAGCGCAGCTCTTTATTTTACACTCATTTCACTCGTTTGGTCACTTTATTTATGTTGGTCATTGTATTTATGTCGCTACTGTTGTGTTGAAAAGACTGGAAAGTGTCTTTTGGACACATGTGCACTCAACTTTATGTTGCAGTAACCGGGATACTGCGTTTACATGCCACAGTATCCCGGTTACTATCGGAATATACCAGCTACAGTAACCCGGTTTCTAATAACCGGGACACTGAAACCGGGGTACTGTGTGTACATGCACCATGAAGAAACCGGGATACTCAAAAAACCCGATCATAACCGGGATACAGATGTGCATGTAAACACACTCATTCTGACTGTGAGCAGGGTCGCCTCTCCACAGATCTGACCTGTAACTTGATCTGGTTTAGTCTCCATGAAGATAGAAAGGTTTAATGCCATACTGTGAAACATTCCAGGCAAAGCAACAACATCTCCATGGAGAAAAGCATTTAACCTCCACCAGAAAAGTTACACAATGCACCTTTAAAACATTTTACGCACCACCTCAGAATGGCACCAACAAGAATAAAAAAAACTTCATCACATTTTTTTATTTTTTTTCTGCAGATTTTTGGTTTATTTTTGCCTCACCTCTTGGCTCCATCAACTCTTACAAAAGATGAGTGACATTCGCAGTTTTTGCAGTTGCCATAGGAACAGTAATAGTGTAGTTTTGAAAGTGCCCATCGCAGAGACTGGGGCTTTGTTTGTGCAGATCTGAATAAAACTAAACCTGAAAGAGCGCTTGTGTGTGATATTAAAAGCTCTGATTAAAACGGAATTATGAACATGATGCTATTAGTGTAAAATGTTTGATATGTGACTTTTTTGTGAATTAAAAGTCATTATTCTTAATGCTTTTTACACATTCTTTGAAACGGCACCTTACAATTGCATTTCCTTGTAAGATTTTTTTTACTTTTTAGCTTTCTACCATGTTATAACATTGTTCCCTCATGAAAATCATGCCTGAGGAGGTTTTAGCTGTCACCTAATCATGTTTGAGCAATTTAGCACTCTCTCTTGGCTATATTAAAACCCTCCTTATTGTCAGCCCACAATAACATATATTTACAAGTCATAATAATTCTTTTATATAGTCTTCCACAATATCTATGACATTTTAAATTATTGTTGAGCGTTTTATGCATTTTGCATTATTAATACCAGCTCAGTGTCGTTACTGCAGAACATTTTCTGTACAACTACAATCATAGACAGTATACAGGTGTATTACATACGTCACGACCAAACAGCAGCGACTGGTTCAATAAAAAAAGTACCCACCTACCGTCGAGTGAACGAATCCTAATGCTGCGAGATCAGACCGTTTCCACGAAGTGAAACCGGCTGATGAATCAGGCTACAGGTGTGCACCCTCCACCAGAAAAGTTACACAGTGCACGTGTAAGTTCAGTCTATAACAGCCTATATCATGTTCTATTAGAATAATAATAATAATGATATTAAATCTGTGCTTATAAAGCACTTTTAAAAACAAGGTTTACATACAGAAGAAATAAATAACAGACAATGATGCAAACAATCCAACTAATTATAATAAATAAAAAGAAAGAAATAGTCCAGGAGTGTCAAACTCAAATTCAGAGGCCAAAATTTCAAACTGGGACTGAATCATGGTCCAAACTAAATATTTTAAATATTTATTATATTAAAAATTTCCACAACATCTGCATGTTTTCTCTTCTTTCAAGATATGTAATGTTCAACCTTTTCTCATTAAAATAAATGTTTAATAGTTTTTCTTAAACATTGAATCCAGAACAAACAGAATATAAAACAATAACAACATTTTAAATAAATAATGTTTCTATAGCTGATCTGTAACCTGCGGGCAGCTCTAATACAGATTTGATATGATTTCGTGGGCCAAATACAATTATATCGTGGGCCAAATTTGGCCCCCGAGCCTGAGTTTGACATGTCTGAAATAGTATAAAAATACATAAGAAATAAAATCAAGCTAAAACCAGTGAAAAGAGATAAACTCAAAAGGACTGAAAAGGCTCCATCCCCTTTGTCCGGAGCCTGGACTCTGGAACAGTCACAGGACCTGCCTGAGGATCAGCGGCTGCGGGAGTGTATCACATACAGAAATACAGATATTATATTTTTATATGATTTTTATGTCATCAAGCAGCACCCACAGTGAAGAGTTTTAAATCTCGTCTGAAGACCCACTTTTATTCTCTGGCTTTTAACACCGCGTGAGTTGTGTGCTCCTCTGTGTCTTTTATTTATTTTTATGTGATTTTTTTTTTTTTTGGTTTTACTGATTTAATTTATTTATTGGTTTATTTATTTCTATTCTATTCTATGATTTTGTTTTTATTTTTATTTTACTGGTTTTATTTTATTTCAGTGGTTTTATTATTTTAAGACCAGTATTATTTTAGTAGTTTATTTTATCATCTTATTATTGTTGTTATTTTTATGTACTTGTGCCGCACTTTGGAAACAGTTTGTTTGTGAAATGTGCTATAGAAATAAAGTGGATTGGATTGGATCAGTTAACTTGACTTCATTTACAATTATTCTTGTTTATTTCTCCTACTCCTTTTCAAACATATAATAATCCCTCTGCATCTCTCTCTTTCTCTCAGTCCCACCTTTGGCCTTGGTCTCGTCTCTCCGTGTGTGTGCGCGTGTAAACAGTAGCGCGCCCCCTGCAGGCCGTCCCCAGCCACAGCTCCTCCTCCTCCTCCCTCTCTTTCTCCTATACCTCTCCGCCTGCCTCCCCACGAGCCTCATTCACTAGAAGATGGCGGACTGCGCTCCACTGTTGGATGAGGAACTCTCTTCGTTTGTCTTCAATTACCTGACTGAAAACTCCGGCAGCCAGGTAAGCCACCGGCCTCTGTGGACACGCGGGACTCTGCGCTCTCTGCACCGGGCTCGCATCGGGAGCGTTACCGGCTCTGGTGCACGCTGCAGCCCGGTTTGTGCGAGCTCTGTGCGGGCTTGTCAGGCAGCATCAGCCGGTGTCTCTCTCCGGGTCTGTGCGTGAGTGTGTGTGTGCGCCGACACTCCACGCTTGACGTCTGGCTTTCACGTGCTTTTTGGGGAAGGATATGCCATCAGCCACAAGGAGTAAAATACAGGATTATCGATTGGAATGTACCGGAATGGCTTTATTTTTGGCGGTAGAGCCGTGGTTGAGCGCTGTTGCCACGGAGGGATTATTATTTGGTATGCAGACAAGCGCTTTCTAAAGTTTTGACGCATTCTTTGAGGGAAGTTTTAATTTGAGTGCCGACTTGGACACGTGGTGCGCCCCGAACGCATGGACTTAGCCTTGGGACTTACTATTGTAATATGATGGCTTTATTCCACACGTTTTATGACTGATTTCTGTCACGTTCCACGCCAAGTGATCACAGTTGTGCACTAAAGGCTGATTTGTATTGGATCGCTGCTTTGAAATCTCCCCACACAGTTTGAAATAAAGTGTCTGTTGATTTGAGGAAGTCGCATTCATAATCATTTCTTGTTCAGCCCGGGTCTAAGCTGCTTGCGTGAGCTTAGTGGAAGATCTGCGCGTGTAACGTGGCGATTCAAAGTTAACACCGACCACCTTTGATGCTTGGTGCGCTTTACGTCACCTAATGTAACGCACAGGGTGGATATTTGAGCATAAAGTTCGATAATATTGTATGTTTTTGTAACCATTTGCGTAACTGTGCGATTACAAAACGTGCCTGCTGCTGTTACAGAACCCAGATACGTACGCCGCGCATCGTTCCTGGTTGTTATTAAAGCGATGTTGGCGGTTTGTTGATCCCAAAACGTGCGCAATATTTTGACGTACGATTTTATTTTACGTTACCCCCATTGGCCTGCACGCACGGCTGGATATTCTAAACATTTGGACCGTAAACATAAGTTGTGTTGACTCGCTGCATGCAGTGGAGCACTACTCATAACACACACGCACGCGCACACGCACACGCTAATGATTTGCTACGGTTTTGATAAATTGGCTACGGGCTTTCCAAGGAATAGTAAAGTGGTTTTGCTACAGAGCAGTACCCAGTGCACCAAAGCAATCCAGTCTAAAGAGCTATCACTCAAAATGTCCTTATTGTTATTATGGCCACAAATATCTGTATACGGAAGCTATAGTGACAATTGGCCTAAAGCTGCACTGTGTAACTTTTCCGGCAATAGCCCAGGACCTGGTTGTGTCCATGGAGATACGCCAGGGGAGATTGCTGATTGCTTTTCCCCTGGAATGTCCCACAGTAGGGCATTATACTCGATTATTATTTAATTACAGTTGCATTCTACTGTGATAACTGCGCGCACCTCTCCACAAACTGGACCAGTGCTTGTCGTCTCCATGGAAACAGACGCGTTTAATAGAAAAATTCCGGGCATGGCAACAATGTCTCCATGGTAACGGAGCTCCCCCCCCCCCCGCTGAAAGTTACACAGTGCAGCTTTAAGCGCGTCACTGTCAGGGCTGCAGCTGATGATGACTTGAGTAGACGCGCTTTTTGAATGACCAAAGAAAGTTGAAATATAATGTTAAATCTTTTTGTTTTTTTGTATATTATAACGTACAGTGGATTTTATCAAGAAGAGACGGAATAATATTTTGATGACAGTAAAATAAATTTGAAAAAAAAGTAAAAGTAAACTAAGCATCAAATGACAGTCTTAAAAAGCTGCAGTGTGTAACTTTTCTGATGCTTCACCGTCTGGTATTAAACATTTCTGTCAAATCAGACCAAGTTACAGGTCAGATCTGTGGAGAGGCGACCCCGCTCACAGTCAGAATGTGGTTTTTCTAGGTATTCTTGAGCGATAAAACCACCTGTAATTGATAAATGTAAAGTAGAGCTGTTTAATGTCTCACTGCGGAACATTCCAAGCAGAGAAACGGTGCATTACAATATTATTTTCACACTTTCATCACATTTTAAAAAAAAACTGTTGCATCAAATTGTAGTCGCTGTAGCTTCGTAAATATGTCATGCTGTTTTTTAAAGGGTCATTTTGCCGTTTCCTGTCCACAATGACACTCACAATGCTGCAATGCCCTATAGACATATATGGCATTTCCTGTCATCGTTATTCCAACCACATATCTTTAACACAGCCACTGGACGCTTCACTGTTTACACAATAACACAGGTCCCTGCTAATGCATTTCCAATAGGAGCAGCTTGCGCGAGACGGCATGGGGAGAATATTTAAAGGGCCCATATATTACGCTCTTTTCTGATCTGTTACAAAGCTGTTTTCTCACCGCGAACATACCTGGAGTCGTGTTTTTGGTTCATACGCACGTCTTTAACAAATGCAAACACAAATCCTGCATACTGAAACATGTGCGAGTGAAACAAAACACAACTCCAGGTATGTTTTTGAGCATTATAACACCTCACAAGAGACAATTTTGCATAATATAGGGTCTTTAAACATTTTCTGGTTCATAGATACATGGCCATTGCGCTTTATTTTATTGTTTTTTGCTGGTTTGTTTGATATAAGCTGCAGTATCACATAAAATCTATTAGCCAATCAGAAAGCAGCTTGTAACTTCATATATTTTGTTGCCAGGCGGATATTTTGTATTGATTCTCCTGTGTATTTATGTATAATGTGTAATTATCTGTATTGGCCACGGCGCTAAAACTGTCAGTTGTCAAGTTTGAGCGAGTGCTTTCACGTCTCATTTGGCTTCAGTCTTCGTTAAATCGATTGTTGTTGAAATATGGCATTCATCAAGTCCTCTGCAGATAACTTTATATATTTGAGGACTGGAGCTGGACTGGAGCGGGACTGGAGCTGGACTGGAGCGGGACTGGAGCTGGACTGGAGCGGGACTGGAGCTGAACTGCTAACTAAAAAAGCACTGAAGCAGGACTTGAAGCTGGACTAAAGCAAGACTTGAAGCTGGACCAAAGCAGGACTAAACGTGGACTGAAGCAGGACAAAATGTGAACTGAAGCAGGACTAAATGTGGACTGAAGCAGGACTAAACCTGGACTGAAGCAGGACTAAACCTGGACTGAAGCAGGACTAAACCTGGACTGAAGCAGGACTAAAGCAGGACTAAAGCTGGAACTAAAGTAGGACTAAAGTAGGACTAAAGCTGGAACTAAAGATGGAACTAAACCAGGACTAAACCAGGACTAAAGCTGGACTGAAGCGGGAACTAAAGCAGGACTGAAGCAGGAACTAAGCTGGACTAAGCCTGGACTAAGCCTGGACTAAGCCTGGACTAAGCCTGGACTAAGCCTGGACTAAGCCTGGACTAAACCTGGACTAAACCTGGACTAAACCTGGACTAAACCTGGACTAAACCTGGACAAAAAGCTGGAACTAAAGGTGGACTGAACAAGGAACTAAAGTAGGATTGAAGCAGGAACTAAAGTAGGATTGAAGCAGGAACTAAACCAGGACTAAACCAGGACTAAACCAGGACTAAACCAGGACTAAACCAGGACTAAACCAGGACTAAACCAGGACTAAACCTTCCATTGTGTTGTCATAACTTCCTCTCATGTCTTCTTATCAAAGCTTCAGTTGCATCACGGTTTGGCTTTATAGCGGCGTGCACGAGGGATGTTCACGTGCGCGCTGCTGGCTCGTGCGTGTGTGTGTATCTGTGTGTGTGTGTGTGTTCGTGTGTGCGCGCCCTGTCACAGCTGATTGGCGGTTTAAGCAGGTTAATGCAGCGTGTGGTGGTCGGATGCTGGAGAGGAGGACTGGACACAGGAGCTATTTTTAGTTCTGTCTTCACTCACAAACAGAGGCATTACAGACGACAAGCCCCTGTACGCACACACACACACACACACACACACACACCTATATACATGCCCTATATTACGCAAACTGGACTCTCGTGAGCTTTAAAGGTTGTATGGAGGATTTTTTGTTTTTAGTTTCAAATTGTCAATGAAAGTTTAAAATACCATTACAGAGATGCAGCAGCCTTGTAATTATGATGACCAAAAAAAAAAAAAAAAGAAAATCTGTGGATGTAGTGAGGCCAGATAAACATCAGCCAATAGAAAACGAGGCTCCCTCATTTTCTATTGGCTGTTAGGTTGTCGATCAAACTCCCTACGTTTCTAATGTAAGTGACTCGCGGCTCGTGGGGATTACGTGGTTCATGCAGCGGTTCTTAGAGGCTTTTTCAAACTGTCGCTTCCTCGCAATTCACACCAAGTTTGTTGCGATGGCGGACGAGAATCCACGACCGGTTCGCCGCAAAAGAAAGTCCATTTTTGGGGTCGCTGAAAGAAGAAGGGAAGGGGAAAAGGAGCGAAGCCAAACTGAGGTGATTCTTGGAGATTCCTTCCAGCGATTGCGCAAAAGAAGCAGACGAAGGGTCTAAAAACTGACGCGTTGGTCGCTAAAATATTTCTAGACTGGTCACTTCAACAATAATTCTGAACGCACACTGGCTGTAAACAAACGTGATTTCTAGAGTAAAGAGGCAGGAGGAGATGTTTCTACTTGTGGAGCTGTGGAGGAGGAAGGTGGTGTCACGCATGCACAACATTTGAAAAAGGACTGTCGCTGTATTTCACTTCCCTTAAAAAATCCTCTATACAACCTTTAAGCGTTTTTACCTCCTCAAAAACAAACCCGGAGTTGTGTTTCGTTTCATTCACACATTTCAGTAACTCTTTATTATTAACCTGTCTACATCCCCAAAGCTCCAAATGCACCTTGTGATGTCATGAAGCGGCCGTTTTCAAGCGGACATCTACATTTTTGCCTTTTTTCTACCTTGTTTCTAACCTGCTCGCTTTTAATGTAATATATATGCCTTTAATCAGAACTCAAAGCATGAATTTTACATCGCCGGGCTTCCGTCGTCGG